CGAGCAGCGCTGATAAAACTCGACGTTTCAATGCCACATGGAAATACCATGCTACTTCGATGTTTCATTTTGCTAACTCTTTTTTTTTTTTTTTTTTTTCTTCATTTTTATTCACCAGCGATAAACACGAGCGGAGAGTGGTTTTTTGGTTGTCGATTTCCTCCTCTCTTTTTTTTTTTTTATTTTATTGGCAGTTTTGAACTTTCCCATTTGAGGTGCGAAAAATCAATATGCATTTAGCGTCGTATAAAGGCCACACTAGTATGTTAAATCTATGTTTGTCGACTTTTTGTCTTTCACGTTACTCGGTGAAAGGGATAATCATTTGCTCTGCACGAAGATGTGTTAAAACGATAAATCCAAGAAACTTTGCGTTAAAAAGGCACGAAATAATTATTGCCATATATCGTAGCTGCGTTGATCAGAGATACTGTTGTAAACAACTATATTTTTACAATAAGCAGGTAGCAAGAGAACATATTTAATCCCAAAAGTTAAATAAAAAAAATATTTCGGCACGATGCAACTGGTTGACAGATTATTGAATTTCAAAAATTTACTTTTAAAAAATTACTTCGTGTGCGAGAACTTTTCATATTCTCTTTCATTTTCTGTTCTTCGAGTTAATTTCATTCGCATAAAGTTACTTGCTTAAATAAATAATAATGATAATGATAACAATTGGAGAATTTATAAACGAGCCGAGTATTTTAAGAGAAGATGTTGATAAAAAAGGAGACCTGCAATTGGAGAACTTGGCTGTAGAAAATAATGCAGAATATAAAGATTCTTCTCGAAAATATCTGGCAGAAAAGTTTTAGCGAGATGAATGAACGAAAAGTTCCAAATTCAGAAAAATTCATTGTTGTTCGAGAATCCAGTACCAGCAAGAACGCAAACTAAAAATAGCATTACGTTACTTAGCAACGTTGTTGCTCCTTCCAGGTCAAGGTACATTCAAAAGAGCCACTTCACTTCACTCGAAACTTAAAAAGTATATTTCGAGCAGAGTAAAATGATAGATTCGCGTGGCAAAGTGGTTTTAAATTACTTAAAGACGAGCGTGGAGAATAAATAGTTGGTTCGTACTACTTGTGTAAAAGCGGTTTCGAAACGACTGATCGACCAGCCTGAACGAAAGCTAAAGTTTCGATTTTTTTTCAATAGTTTTCACGTTCTTCGATTTTCCGTGAGATCATTTTTTTTCGTTAGAGAAAATGAAAATATAATCTAATAATCTTGAAAGCAGAAATAAAGGTTTCTGATCTTATCGATCTTTCGAATATTTTCTATAACTAGAATTCGATCCTTTACGAGATGACCTTTTCATTAAAGATCAATTGATAGCCGTTTAAAAATATTGCGGATAATTGGAAAAGCGGTGAAGCTTTCGTCGGTCTCTTATTTTCTGCGAGGATAATAATTTCGTTCGAGGAAATGTTAATTAGATATAGCCCTTTTGGTAACGAATAATTGATAAATCAGCGAAGTTTCTTGAATACCTCCCAAACCCGAAAACTCATCTCAATTACGAAGTAATATCCTCGTTAGAGAAATATTAATTCGCGGAATTATTTCAAGAAACAAACAGACAAAATCATCAATTACGAATAATTCTCTCTCTCTCTCTCTCTCTCTCTCTCTCTATCGAACACTTCCCACGGAGGATTTCTTAAATTGTTTGCCAGATATTTTCGTCACGGCGATGTTAATTGATGGCACTTTAAAATCGAGTTAACTTTCAATCATTTGAAATTGTAATTTCTCCGGAGATCGTTTCACCGTACTTCGGGATGGTGCTTCATTTTGTGTGTCCAAGGATAGCATTGGCGACTATTACGAGGCCGCCGCCCCTTCGTAATTCCCTGTCACATTACGATCATAATTACGAAATGTAGCGTGGCGCGGGAACTTCGTTTAAAAATGCCCACCCCTCCCTGGGGCCACCGTTGCGGAAGTTGGTAATTATTTGAATTATTACGGATTCAGCCCCAGCGGGCCCGAAACTTTTTCCACGTCCTTAATATAGAATTTCAGCCAACGAAATTGCGACCAGAATCCGCACGATTGTTTCGACTCGTTTCTTCTTTTTTTTCTTTCTTTTCTTTTTTTTTTTTGCGCGTGCACGATCGTCACGTGCACGTTTCAAGCGATCACTTCATCGCGTACTTTTCACGATCTTCATTGAATGAATCGAACGAGTCGAGATCCGATAACCACGTCTCGAGACAATCGGAAAGATGACTTCGGCATTTTCGTGCGTTCATTGGGAATTAAATAAATCGAAGAACACGCTCGTTGCAGTATTTTTGGCATGTGGCGCAAATTTGTACTCGAGCACAGTTTGTTTAAGCCGTCGAGTGCTTGCAATTGTCGAGATTCTAAAGGTTTGATACTAATTGGGGATCGTGTAACAAATTCAGTATACGTTCAAGTGTGCAAACATCTATCTTTTGGTATATTCATACGTGTATCCGTAACACGTTATCCTCTTTAAATCTCGAACAATTAAATCAATTATTTATTGAACACGCAAGAGGTTCACAAAGATATGAATTTTTTCAATTTAAGCAGTGAAATGAATAATATAGAATAACATCAAAAAATAATATTGTTTTTTGTATACAAGCTATAATTAAAATAAATCATTTCACTCATTGATGCTCATTACATGATTCAAATTATTTTACATTATTTTTCGTAAGAAATATTTCATTTTTATTTTTATATATAAATAAAACGTTTTCTCTCGAGATTGTCATTGTGAAATTAAATGTACAAGTGATTTTACGAAGTAATTGGGGAAAAATCGAGATTGCAAATGGAGATAGATGTATATTAAACATCCTCCGTTATTTTCTCAGGGAGTTCATGCATCTATTCAGTACGAAATTGCAAAATTATGCCGCTCGTAAGTTATGCAAATCGTTAAGTCTCTTACTCTATCTAAACTGAAGTTAGTGTCAACATTTCAACGAAAACCGTCGGAACCGTCTTATTACTCAAACTATAGCTACTAATAGTAGGGTTAATAACGTCCATGAAGATTTAATTGATCTACTAGAAATTTCTGCAGGAGTTTGACAGAAATAATACGCCAGAAATCAAATGATAATTAATAATCTCTATCTCTCACTCGCGTGTATTACGAATATTTTAATACAAATTCAGTACATTTACAAAATTAATGAAACAAATTTTATATAAAAAAAAAAAACTTATTTCGTTGACTAAATATAAGGTGGCCACTGAAAAATTCAATCTTCTTTATTTTCTTCTTTTTTTCTGTAGGTTATAAAATTATAGAATCCATTAATTATATTTCCAGATAAAACAATAAAAAATTTAAAAAACATGTGTTTGTTATTTTTGTTTAATATCATTCAGTCTTTCAGTGGCCACCCTATATTACATTTCGTACATTTGTCTTATTATTTCTCCATATTGTGTGCGTCTTGTGGATTTCTAAATTTCAATTCTAAATTTCGAAAATCGATCACGAATGTCAAAGTATAAAAATTAATGACAAAGACAAATAACTGTGAATGCTATTTATTGTCTTTTCACCTCTCTTATATGGAAATTTCCTTTCTTAAAAATTTTGTATAATTTAAGATTGCTATATCCTTTTCATCATTTGAGGAAAACAGGATTTGCCAGGATTTAAGGACGAATAGGGGTTTCAGTTGTATTATCACATATCGATTTTTAAAAATGAATTCTGTGATCGATGAATCGATGCAATAATACTGAAACGTAAAATTCATCTTTCTTAATAATGAATTTCTTAAACGAATCACAGTCGATCGGAAATAAAAAAAAAAATATATTCACGTAGTTATTGAGCGTGTAACTCTGTATAATTTTTTATTTAAAAAAAAAAAAGTGTTTCAAAAACTAGAAATCCTCTTAAACTCGTTCTATTTAAAGA